ATCAGGAACACTGATGAAGCTAATTACATGAATAACGCAAGCCAACTGGTCTAGTGGTGTAAAGTTAACAATATTGTTCTGAGTGTGGGGAAAATCAAATAAATTGTGGTTAACTTCAGGACAGCCACATCACTTCTCTCTGACCAATGATGGTGCTGTAGTGGAAAGAGTGAATAGCATCAAATTCTTGGGGACTCACCAACTTTCCTGGACCAGCAACCCCACATCGTTGGCCAAAAAGGCTCAAACCCACCTCTACTTCTTCCGCAAATTGAAGAGAGCAGGAGTTTCAGCCCCCATCATGCATTCATTCTACCAGAATACCATCAAAAACATTCTCAGCAGCTGCATCCCACTGTTATATAGAGACTGCACTGCCTCTTGCTGAAAGACCGTGTAACACTGTGAATCGAGCCAGCAAGGCTCCCCTCTGCCTTCCCTCACAGACATTTTCACTCACATGCAGAGCCATCAGCTTTGCTTGGGACACCTCCCACCCCTCACACATGCTCTTTAGCCCTCTGCCTTCTTGAAAAATGTACTGGAGCCTCTGGGACTGCACCACAACACTGCTGAACAGCTACCAACTATTCAGGATGCTGAACTGTGTCCACCACCTTCCTCCTCTGCCTCCTGCTCCTGGACCATGACAAAAGTCAAAACAGTTTGGAAGACAAATATTACAAGAAATTCATTTTTGTATTCAGACCTATAAACATCTTCTCTTTTAGAGTGTTTATTTTATAGTATATAAATTTTTGAATTGAAATAATCAAACTTCACTAACATGTATTGAACTTTAAGGAGGGAGCAAAGAAAAACTTAAAGTCTAAAATGCCTTAAACGGTGAGTTTAACATGAACAGTCTGGTCACGTTCAAAATGATGTTCTGTCAAAGTTATCAGTAATTAGAATTGTGTCAGTGTTTCTACACTCACACATTTGTGTAGTAAAACAGACGTTCGGTTGAAAAAAGTGGCAACTTATCAAATAGCAAAAGTGAAGCGTTTTAATATTAGCTTATGTGATATGTTGTATCATTCTTCAGGCCACGGAGCATATAAACTTTTAATTGTTCAATTTTTACTTAAAAATACTACGCACAAAAAACAAACAAACACTGAGCCTGACTTTATGATGGAAGTGTAATCAGGCTCAGTGATGGCTCTGGTGGCACAGTTGGTAAAGCTGTTGCCTCTCGGCAAGAAGGTCGTTGGATTGAATACCAGCCGGGGGCCTTTCTAGGTGGAGATGGCATGTTCTCTCTGTGCATGGGTGAGTTTTTACAGGTACTCTGGTTTCCTCCCACTGACCAAAAACATACATTAGGCTAAGTGGTAACTCTAAATTGTCCCTAGGTGTGAGTGAGAGAGTGAATGGTTGTTTGTCTCATTTGTCTCTATATGTGTCCCTGTGATGGACTGGAGACCTATCCAGGGTCCCCCGCCTCTCACACAGTGACTGCTGGATTGGGCACCAGTGAACCCCACAACCTGAAAAAGAAGAAGTGGGCAATGATAATGGATGGATGAAAGTGTAAAATAAAATGCTTTGCAGCACTAAATGTAAACAGTAACAAGTGGCCTGAGATTCAAGCCACTTTCACACCTTATAATTTTATTTTAAAATCAAGGAAGTTTAGTAGCAAGTGTTTTTGAGCCATCAGGATAAGAAAACTATTAATAAATACTACATATTTTATGTGATTTAAACCTTACAACTTACAACATTCACTGTGGCAGAAAAAGTTCTCAAAAGATGCTTTCATTTAGTTTTTTGCTTTTAAGTTCTGACAAAGCTAACCTTTGAGCTGTAGCTGCATATTGAGCCACACTAACATCTAAAAACAGATTTGCACGTGACAAAGGCATTCGAATCACATTTTATATTTATCTTATTAAACTGAAAGAGTAGCAGAAAACATCATTTTGTCCTGATTGTCTTCTGGTGTCCGCTTGTGAAACGGAAAGCACCGAAACTCAGACTCTTTCCCCAGAGTCTTATTTAAGATAGCTTCTAGGATGTCTGAATGTTTCCTAAATGTGCAGATTTAAAAAAAACAAGTTTAAGAATCCCAACAACACTGAGATAAATACAATTTTGAAATCCCCTCACTGGATCAACCCTCTAAAAATGCAATCGTCAGTTTTAGATTTTTTTTTTTTCTGATCAAATTAAGTAAATCACATTCCAACTTATGTATATGAAAATATTTTAACACACCCATGATCCTTACACATCTAAAAGTCTTTTGTTTACACCAGATATACTCCCCTTAATATTCACAGTCCTGCAGTCCTCCTATGTTCCCTGCGGCGCTCGGTGTGTTTGCTGCAGTATAAAAGCAGGTTGGGCTGAGAAGAAGGGTAAAAAAGGCTCATTAAGAAAGCTCAGCTCCTTGAGGCAGAAACAGATCAAAGCCCACTCGGGAAACTGAGTCTGTCTTTATTCGTAGGTTCAGTTTGTACTCCTCACTTGTTTCTGTGATTTCTTTCCAATCATGTCTCCATTTCATGTGTGACCTGATTCAAAGCTCAGGAAATAATAAAGAAAATAACATTGCACTCTGGAAAATGCTCAAAGTCCCTTACCTCATCTTCCTGAAAACTAATGAGACCCTGAACGGCTTCTGTGACTTTAATGAATATTTCAGTAAGCAGGTGTTTTGTATTCATGTCAGTTCAGGGGTCTATGTTTTAAACAAGCTTGTTAAGAATCAAACTGTGGCTACATTTGTATGTAACTTTCATAAAAATAAAAATAAAAAGTGCAGGAAAAAAGCTACTTTTAAACCTTATTTTGTTTTATGTAAGATTATTTAGTATGCATTTCCTAATATAAGATAAGATATAACTTCATTGTGTTAACCGATGTTAGTTTTCCTCCTGAATTATTTTGTTTGTCAAGGTCTGGACCTAAAGCAGAAAATGGCAGAGTCGCAAAAATATTACTGAACACTCAAACGCACCATCCATTCTTGAGCTTGAATATCTAAATCAGACTCTTCAGGACTTTCACAGAGTTGATCTAAAGTCACACTTGACAATGTGCTTTCAGTTATTTCTATTATGAATTTTAATCAATGCTCTTAGCCTGTTATCCTGGTCATTTTGTCAAATATGTTTTAGCTATCTTTCTTTCTAACTTGACTTGCCTATCACGTTTACTGTACGGACAGAAATATTTCCCAATTTGAAAATTGTGGCAAAATAATTATTTGTTTTATCAAAATCAAATGTTTAATTTTAGTTTGCTGTTTGGGAAGTTTCCAGCAATGTCTTATGATGGTTAGCTTTTTGACACGGTTTGCCAAACAGATCAAATTATTCGACTGGAGGTTTCCTAATACAATTTCTCCTTCACTTTAAACCTGTCTGCCATAGGAAACAATACAAGAAAATTAAAACAAAAATTAAAAGGACAAAACTTTTATCACTTTAAAATAGTGGAATGCTGTTTTCATTTTGGATACTGTAAAATGTCATTGTATGGTTTCCATTTTGTGCCTCAATGCATTCCTGTCTTGCACATCTACAGATAAATATCAATTCTTCATGGCTGGATCTTCACTCTGACACATTTAAAAAGACTTTTAAAAGCTCAAACACAGTATATTACTTCATTATAATGTCCAGGATAACTGGAGAGCCCAAGTCAAGTCAAGCCAATTTTATTTATAAAGCATATTTAAAACAGCAGGTGTTACCAAAGTGCATCCCGAGATTTTAACAGACTGCTTAAGATATGTCTGAGGTGAGTCCAGGTTTACAAGATCAGAGGCGGTGGTCGAGCTAGGGCTTAACACATTGACTTCAATCTTCTGATCGTTAAAACTTGAAAATTTTGAAGCCATCCATGTCTTAATGTCATCCAGACATTTTAACAGAGGGTAAATGGAGCAAGCACTAGCTGGTTTCAAGGGCAGGTACATTTGACAATCATCAACATAACAATGGAATGAAAGACAATGTTTCCTCAGGATAGACCCTAGAGGGAGCAAATAGAATGACAACAGAAGGGGTCCAAGAATCAAGCCCTGTGGGATCCCACAGGAAAGAGGGCACAGAATGCACAGCATGAAAGCACAAAAAGGTTACATTCAGTTAACATTAGTGTCTTTAAAATCTTCAAAAAGAGACACTGAATGTACCAGAATTCATTCTTAACTAAGGATGTTCATTTTGTCACTAATAGGGTATTTTAGCTTTTCTTTTTTAATAAATTACACAAATGTGTCAAAGTTGATGAGTGGTGAAGACCCAAAGAACAAAGTCCACGAGCAGAACAAGCGCAAACTGAAAATGGGCCTAATACCAAAAAGGAGAGGTATCTAGTCAGCCAACAGGAAGGACAAAAATATAGTAAACGTGGGTCAGCACGGAGAATGCAGCACAAACAGAAAGAGCTGAGAAACTGAGGGCTATATGAAAAACAGGGGTGGCTGATTAGTGCATGAGTAGCAGGTGTACTGATAAGCAGTGTGGGGAGCTGAAATTAACAAAGCCACACAGAAAGGCCCCAGGCTGGGAGGCACTCTGCCACCTGCTTTTATGCAACAGTGCTAACCACGTGCCACCCGGAACCAAACCGTCCATGATTACACAGATCAGATGACATAAAACATCTTTCTTTGACACTAAATAATTTGTTATGAGGTGAGAGACATAATCCCCAAAGGACTGAAGCTTTTATGTGTGTGCTGTAAGCCTGAAACAATAAGTATTACTGTAGGATTCAGAAAAAGTGTCTTGGAACAAAACAGTAGAAACTAATTCATAACAGTTTGATGTATCAGTTCACTGCCACTCCAGAGGACATCTGTGTCTGTTGTCACTAATCACTCTGGTTTGTAGGTCAGAAATCACAAAACCATGTTATTAATGTAGCTTGGGACCTGAAAGCTGAAAACATTGTTTAGATGTTTGGATCCATTTATGTGTATTACTCGGTTATTTAAGTCTCATTTATGGGCATGTTCCTTTTTTCTTCTTCTTTTTTAGCTTCTAGACATAAACTGGACTGGCCTCACTAATATCCTGGACATTCCTGGGCTCAAGTAAGTCAATTCAAACTTGCTCTTCTTGTTTTTCAAGAAAACCAAAACTCTCAGAAGTGTTAGACGTTTTCAGGGTTTGGTTCCAGGAACTCACACTCATTTATTTTTGTGCATGACTTCAACCACCTAAAATGTTTTTTAAGTCATTTTGAATGTATTTTGTTTTTAGTTGCATTTTATTAATCATGTCTAGCTTTACAGAAGAAAACAAGAAATCTCATTGAGGGTACCTAATTGAATTAAAAACAGGTCAGATCATTTCCTCTTTCCTTTTTGCCATGTCTTTTTTTTCTTGGATTGTTATGGGAGAGTTTAGACTTGCTATCATCCAAACACAATTGCTTCCACCTTGAGTGGTTTCATCTGTTATTTAGAGCCCGAAGAAAGTGACACGTTCATGAATACTGCATGTGACTTTCTGTGGTTACAGTTGCTTGTTACATATCATAGTTACATGGACACATTGACACTCATTCATCTGACTTTTCTTTCTATTGGTCAGTGGGGGTAAAATGAACCCTTTCAGCTTTTGTCCTGTGGGTGTTTTTGGTTTGGATGGTTGAGGGGTGGTGGGGAACTTTTGCAGCAAAATAATCTGCAGTGGCAGAAACCCAGATGGTGCAACAGTAGTTGCAACAATGTTGTTCCTCAGACGTGAAAACAAAAGACAAAATCAGATTTAAAAAAGATTTTAACTGTTCAGTAATGTTTTGATTGATTTGAATAGGGTTACCATAGGGACATGCTCACAACTGCTATTTTAACACGCTGTCGTTTAATTTTTACGTTGTAGAGCAATAACTTGAATAATGTGAACCAAACACAAAAGGCATAACCAGGATAATCTGATCATTTTAACTTTATAAGATATAGTTTTGTAAAATATAATATTGTATGTACTTATTCATACTTCCATCACAGGACTATAAATAATAAAAATCAATCAATCAATCAACTTTATTTATACCCTTAGGTAGATTTGGTTACAGTAAGGTGAGTTAGCTTTCTTGCCAGACAGGAAACTTGACATAGACACACAAAAAGTATAAAAAAATTAATATAACGTGATTAAAAAATGGTTTAAAAAAAAAAGGCCCGGTGCTATGCTATGCTAAGTCGAATTTTGGAAGCTAATAGCAACAGGAACAAAACTGGTTTTATACTGCTTTGTTTTTACATCTGAGAAAGAACTCTATTGTGTCTTTGTGGATTTAGAAAAAGCATATGACAGAGTGCCGTGAGAGGAGGTTTGATATTGCATGAGGAAATCTGGAGTGGCAGAGAAGTATGTTAGACTGGTACAGGACATGTATGAGGACAGCAGGACAGTGGTGAGATGTGCTGTAGGAGTGACAGATAGTCTCAAGATGGAGGTGGGAGTGCATCAAGGATTGGCTCTGAGCACATTCTTGTTTGCTCTGGCGATGAACCGACTAACAGATGAGGTCAGGCAGGAATCACCATGAACTATGATGTTTGCAGATGACATTGTGATCTGTGGTGAGAACAGGGAACAGGTGGAAGAGAACTTGGAGAGGTGGAGGTATGTACTTGAAAGAGGAATGAAAGTCAGCCATAGTAAGACAGAGTACATGTGTGTGAATGAGATGGAGGCCGGTGGAACAGTGAGGCTACAAGGAGCAGAGGTCACAAAGGTGCAGGACTTCAAGTATTTGGGGTTCACTGTCCAGCAAAATGGGGAGTGTGGTAAAGAGGTGAAAAAGAGAGTCCAGGCAGGATGGAGTGGATGGAGAAAAGTTTCAGGAGTGATTTGTGACAAAAGGGTGTCAGCAAAAAGGGTATCAGCAAAGGTCGAAGGAAAAGTTTACAAGACAGTTGTGAGACCAGTTATGTTGTATGGTCTGGAGACAGTGGTATCGATAAAAAGACAGGAGAAAGAACTGGAAGTGGCAGAAATGAAAATGTTGAGGTTCTCCTTAGGAGTGACAAGGATGGATAAGATTAGGAATTAGATCATCAGAGGTACAACACAGGTCGAACAACTGGAAGATAAAGTTAGAAAAGCCAGACTGAGATGGTTTGGACATGTCCAGAGGAGGGACAGTGGGTATATTGGTAGAAAGAATGTTAGAAAGGCAGCTGCCAGGAAAAAGACATAGTGGAGACATATGGATGCAGTTAGAAAGAACATGGATGTAGTTGGAGTGAGGACAGAGGATGCAGAGGACAGAGTGATATAGAGGAGGATGACACTGGGGTGATTCTCAAAGAGAGAAATGCCAAAAGAAGAAGGTTTACATCTGGGAATCAAATATCTGTGTCCTGATGGGAGGAGCCTGAACTTGCAGTGTAGAGGATGACACATCTCTTGGATGGATGGATGGATGGATGGATGGATGTGGATAACCAACCTCTGCACCTGCCTGAAGTACAAGGATTCTGGGCTTAGCTGCATTTCACCCGTCAACTTACTAGAGCATTTGACTATTTGGTTCATGCAGTTCTTGTTTTCAAGAGTTAAAATACCAAACCAGGACACCAAGCAGACAAAGCCGATTAAATAAAAGCTCGATACAATAAAGTCAACAAGGTTTTATCAATGTGGAAGCTAGAAAGTTTCCTGAGGAAAAGCAGGTGCTGGTTAATAAAGGTATTTAACAATTGTTATATCAGCATAGTTAATTTTGCTCTACTGTTTTAAGCTTCAAATTCAACATTTATTATTATTGCTTCAAGTTTAACATATTATTATTATTATTATTATTATTATTTTTGCATCTTGAAATGATGTACAAATAATGAATATGAGCAAGAAAGCTAGTGTATAAAGGAGAACAGTGAGAATGTATATTTTGGATACACTACCTCAGACTTCTGAAACATTTTTCAAAACACTTAATGTGTTTTTATTTAAAAAAAACACTGACTTTGCTTCCGGTCATGCTGGTGGAAATAAAGATAACACCATTGTCATACTTGCTTGTTTTCATAAAAGTCAATCTTTCATATGGCTTTTCTCAGGAATCTGATTTGAAATAAAAACAACAAAGTGCAAATGGTTGACAAACTGTAGGGATTGCCAACATGTACAGACAATGGTTATGAAGTTTTTGCAGTTTTTTTTTTTAACTACTTGAGTCTACACGACAAACAAGCTAAGCATCAATAAAATTCTGTGATTTGTTCCATGCTGTTGCATTAATATGAATTTTTTTTATTCCACTTAATGCAAAGTATTCTTTCAAAACTGCAAGAATGACCCTAAAAAACCCATGAAATTGGCTTGAAATTTGGTGCTAGATTAAAGCAGCTATTGAGTAGCTCATTGCATTTTTTCAGTAGTAATCCATTTGAACCTTTATGTCTAAGCTTAAATCCTTGCTGCACAGCTATTGAAGAAGACATTAAACGTCCTCCTGTGGGGTTGTGAATATTCGTAGAAACCTAATGCGGAAGCAATGAATTCTGCTAACTTGGTGGGTTTTTTTTTAACTACAAAAGTGAAAACATTTGCCTCCTAATTGTGCTGGAGGACACATTTGGGGGACACTAATGCCAATAGGATTCATCTTGTGTCTGTGTGTGTATGTGTAGAATGAGTGCTCACACACTTATAGATTTTATGGCAATGTTAGTGTTGCAGAGAAAGCCAGATGGATGGCTGACTCAGTAGCATGATAAAACACTCACTACCGTATAGCATACTGTAAATTATTGGGCAAGTGTATATCTACAGTCAGCAGAGGTATACTAACATAAATAAACATGCACACACACCTAATAGGACATGTGGGTCTTGTGGTGTTCTAGTCAGGGGAGCAGCAAGAAATTGCCCCTAAATCACAGGAATGCAGCAGAAATCTCTCCAGCTTTAGAGGGAATTCAGCTCTGCAACAAGGTTGAATTACTTTTTTTTTTTTTACAAGAGGAAAGCCTGACAACCTGATGCAGACTGATCAAAGCAATGTTTCATCCTGGAAAACAACAAAAAAAACCCCAACGTGATTTAATTCTTTTTTTAGTCTTCTGATGAGTTATTCTAGGACAGCCCAAGAAATCCCAGGGATTTCTGTGACCTATAACAAGTGCATGACTTTATTAAATATCAAAGATACAGCAACAGTCATAAATCCCTTGCTTTTTTTTTACTGATTCAAAAACACTTCTGGCTATATATGGAAATCCGCATAAAAGTCCAGTGAAGTGTTTTTTCTTGAGGAGTCACTTTGCACAGATACAGTCAGCTCACATTTTCTGCAAATGCAGGAAGCTCTTACAGGAACTTTACCTTCTGGACACTTTCTTGAAATGAGTTATTATTGATTTTTGACTCAAGGTCAAGATGTCTTTATTGTCATTCACATCACATGTGGTACATGTGGTGGGATGAAACTATGTACACAGTGTCCCAGTTACATCCAACAAAAATACAAAGTGTAAAGAAAAACAGTAACAAGATCTAAGATATGAACTAAGAAATGTGCTAAACTAAGAATATACTAAGCACAGATAGTACTAAAACAATGTGCCAAACAACAGCAGCACGTAGTGGGGGATCCGATTCACTTTTAAGATGTTTGTATTGATGTTGCATACTGCTATTGGTAAACTCGTGTCTGTCTCTGGAAGCATGCTGACAAACTGTTTTTTGTGCTTAGCTTGCATTTTTACTGGCTGGTGTTGATGCTGAAATGTCCTTGGGGCGACTATGGTTGAGTGATTAGAGAAGTCGTCCTCCAGTGCAAGTGCTGGTGGTTCAATTCCACCAACAGTCACATGCCGAAGTGTCCCTGGGCAAGACACTGAACCCTTCATTGCCTCCAATGTGCGTCCCATTGGTGTATGAATGTGATAAAGCACTGATTATTCATTGTATAGATATAATAGAGTGCTGTATGAATGGGTAAATGAGGGCACAGATTGTAGTGTAAAGCGCTTTGAATGTCTTGATTAGATAGAAAGGTGCTATATACAGTAAGTACAGTCCATTTACCATTACCCTTACTTATACTTCGGTTTTAAAAACTTCAGTTTTAGTTGGATTTTTATGGCTCAAGTAGACAAGAAGTTATCCTGATTTTAATTCATCCAATTCATAACATAAATTCTAAGCTTATTTCTAAGCTTCTGTAAAATGTTATATTGGTGGATGAGTGAAACTCAAAGGCGTATCTAGTTGTGTCTACAAGTGCCGGTACATTTTTATCTGCTGCTTTGTCTCCTGATTTGGATGTATCTCTCATGAAAAGTGCTTCCTGCAGTCCACTTTGAAATTGTTCTGTTTGGATTTATGTCTAGGATCCACTGTAGAAGTTATTTCAGGATCTGTACAAATATCAATCTATAACATTGGATAGAAGAGATGTATTGTGTTAAATGGATGCTTGTTCCATCTTAAAACTCATCTATCTTTGGCTAATACAGCATGGTGAACATTCATCCTAATTACATTGTATCCAGTGGGGAGAATACGTTTCCAGTTTTGCTGCAGCAGCTAAGTTAATAAAGGAATGCCATTCTTTCCCTTCGCTGTCAGTGTGTTCATACAGTATTGAAGGATCAGTGGATCAGATGGGTATTAAAAGGTTTTCTGGCCAGCAGCATCAGCATGCTTGAACTGACTCCAATTTCCTTTGACATCACATTCAAAATGGAGAAAAAAATAAATCAAAAAGGAGATTAAAGTGGAATATTTAAAATGCAATCCAAGGACATATGTACTGTCTTTTAAATAATTACTTGCTTGCTGTTTATTCTAAATTGTTTGCTTGTTTTTTTGTCCCCTTCTAAACCCATTCTCCTTTTCTTACAGCGGCTTCTCCAACAGTCTGATCCAAGATGTCATCTACAGTTATTTAGTTTTACCCAACCGAGTCACTATCCCACTGGTCGGAGAGGAGAAACTGGCCAAGCTACGCTTCCCAATGCCCAAGGTAAAAGATAGTTTTAATAGTGATCAAATTGCCCGCAGGCTTCAACAACATGCCAACATTTTTTTGTTTTGTTGCATTAATCAAGATTAAAAAAAAACACACAACAAATGTGGTGTTTCTCAGTCAGTCAGAGAGTCAGAGTTTCTTTATTGTCATTCGCACCTCATGTGGTACATGTGGTGGAGCGAAATTATGTACACGGGGTCCCAGTTACATCCAACAATAAAATGTACAAGAAAAACAGTAATAACATCTAAGATATGAACTAAGAATAACATCAACCAAATATACACCAAGCACTCATAACATTAAACATTGAACATCAGCACAAACATGAACATGAGTCTGTGAGCAGATGTGCACGCATGAACACATCAACATTGAAACATTGAAACAGATCAGCAGCAACATGAAACAGATCAGCAGCAACATGATGTGATTTTTTCACAGTGATTATTCTAGTTAGAGATTCATGAGTCTAACAGCCTCAGGGTAGAAGCTGTTCCTCAGTCTAGTGGTTCTACACTTAATGCTCCTTAACCTCCTTCCTGAGGGTAGTGGGGCAAAAAGTGTGTGTGCTGGGTGAGTGGGGTCTTTCATGATGCAAGTGGCCCTCTTCCTGCATCTGCAGGTGTAGATGTCTGTGATGGTGGGGAGACTGACTCCAACAAAGCTTTTCTTTCTGCAGCTGTGCAGAAAAAAAAATTGGAAAAGAAAAAAAATTGATTATATAACAATCAATCTAACCGATTGGCTTTTTAAAAGTAGACTTCTTTCTGTGAGGGAATTCATGGTACGTACAAAACTTTTTATGGAGTTACATCTCATGATATGTTGTAAAATGTGTGTTTTTCTAATGCCTCTAAAATAAAATAAAATAGCTGTTAACATTTTGAATGCAATTCTCAGCATTGACAGAGAATAATAGAAACTCTACAAAACATAAAGTCAAGGCTATGTCACTAGAACCTGTGTCCATGGCAACAAGACAAAAGGTTGAGTTCTGTCAAGCTGTTCTCTTGTTGATTCTGTGGCAGATATTTAATGCTTTTGCATTTTATAGTAACTAAATTGGTCTTCCATGTGACATCAAATAATTATTAAAGTGATTAGTTGACTAAAGAAGAAAAAAACTGTCCCGTTCAAATGGACACTTTACATATCAGCAGTTATTTAAAAAGGTAGACATGCTGGCTGAAAATTAAATTATATTTAATGTAATTAAATATAAATATGTGTGCTATAAAGTGTTTAATTTCATAAAAATAAACTTCACAACTATATTTATTCATAATATCCAAATATATTGTGATATTCAGAACAGTATTATATATCGACACTGACAGTATTTTCTTTTCCAGCAGCTGTTTTTAGATGCTCTGGATTCTAGACAACATTTTTTAAAGATAGATTGTGTAATGAATAGCACTCGTACTTTTATGACACTCGACATGACATGAAGCAAAGCTAATAGCGACACAAAAGACTTGTTAAAAGCTGTTTTTATCTAATGGAGAAACTTTGTCTCGCTTACTCAAAAGGAACCACACTCGACGGCGGAAGATTTTAACCAGGATTTTACTTGCAAGGACTCATACAAGACAAATTACATATATAGATAAATAATGCATGGAGCATGTCACAGAATGAAGGTCGAATAGATTTTGTTGCAGACTTTTATACAGCAGCAGAGTCCAGCAGACGCTCCCTCATAGCCAGACACAGTCAGCTGCATAGACATGATCCATGACTGTCGGCGAGTCGGACTCTAGATGGAGATAAGAGAATGTTTTGGGCATGTTCTCATGGCGACAATGCCAGTGAGGCATTGCGAGTCAGTGAGCCGGCCTTCAGGCCGAACGAGCATATTTTGTGCATGTATTACAGAAACGAGGCAAAGATGTTCTCAGATATGTCAGCCATAACATAATAAAGATATTCATACCAAAAAAAATTTCTAACACTATCCTAAAAATGTCAAACCTAATACATTTACAGGAAATTGAGCAAACTCTTTGGAAAATACTTTTTGATTTTCACTTTTTCATGACTTATATGGCACAGTATCTTATCTAATAAAATTCATGAATGTTGTTATTTGCTTTAACTGTTTTAATTATTTCCATCCATCTAATAGCAGATTTCTTGCATTGCATATTTTAACATTTTATGACTTGGTAGAGCTCAGGACAGCACTGATTATGTACAAAGCCTATAATAAACTCCTTCCAAGGCGTATACAAAAGTGGTTCCAAATTGAAGAGAAAAACTATGATTTAAGAGAGAAGGATTTATTAAAAATAAAAAAAACTAAGGTTAGGACAAATATTTAAAACAATTGTACTTCAGTTAGAGGGATTCAGGTGTGGAATAGTTGCTGTAAGGAGTTTCAACTGTCTTTTTCACTCTTTAAATAAATAAAAAAATGTATAAAAATCATTGACTAAACAAATATAATAAGGTTTGATTGTTTTTGATTATTTTTTCCTCTTTTTTTCCCCCTTTGTTTGTGTTTTGGTTTTTATGAGTGTGTCTATCAATTTAGCTGTAATTCCTTGATATGTTTTAGACAATTATATAAGAAAAATTATGCTGCTTTGATTTTGATGTATAACAAAGTGAAGGCATAATAAGCTTGTGCGTCTACATACACTTTTTTCGTTCTACACTATGTGTTTTTGAGTTCTCAATTTTTTTTATTTTTTTTTTATGAAACTGGTTTGGTTCAGAATTTGTATGTAAATTTAGGGACAAGCCATTCCATTCCTACTCCCTTTTTGAAGATTTTGTTTAGTTTCCAGAATATTTTGGTGGAAATATTTACGTGTTTTATTTGTTTATGGTTTTGTTGAAATGTTTAACTGTTCAAAATGCAATAAAGAATTATTATTATTATTTATCCGATGACGTTTGAGTTGGATCACAGGGTAAAACGTCCCTTTTCTGTCCTCATTTTGTGCACCTGCCTTTAATAGCTTCCAGTGCATCTACGACACTAACTGCTCACAAGTAATTTGCTCTGACGTGTGCGTTTTCTAAGGGAGTCCTAAGGATTCACTTCCTGGAGGCCCAGGATCTGGAAGGGAAGGATCACTTTCTGGGAGGGCTGATCAAGGGCAAGTCCGACCCTTACGGTGTCCTGCAGATCGGCAACCAGCTGTTCCACAGCAAAACAATTAAAGAGAGTCTCCATCCCAAGTGGAACGAAGTTTATGAGGTGATACATATAGGATGTCTCTCAAACAAGAGAAATGAACAATTAGTGTATTTTTTTCTTAAGGAGATATAAGCTTTTGAAGTATTTTATTTTATTAATTCATCTGCTCATAGTTTACTAAGTACCAAGTTCTAATTTTCACCAAGTTTTAATCACTTTCTGTCAATGGTCGGATTAAATAAGCTCCAGCCTGTTCTTCTGTTCCTCAGGCTCTGCTATACGAACCCTCCGGTCAACACCTCGAGATTGAGCTGTTTGATGAGGATCCGGATAAGGATGATTTCCTTGGAAGGTAAGTCTTATTTCCTGCTTTACTGTTATCTTATCACACTTAAAAAAACAAAACCAACATGACTTGTTGACACTCAGTTGTGCTGTTGATTGATAAGATACAGTTTCTTGCAATGCAGTTTTGACTTAGTATTCTTTGCAGAGCCATTATCCCACACTTGCTTTCTCAAGGGCAAATTCAATGGATTTCTGTGCAAAGCTGCAGATCGATATCTGGATCCCGCTGTTTTGATTAATTGGCCTAATTTTCTGTTTACTGTTTGTCAAGTGAATTTCCCTGATTACTGTACTATTGTTTCTTGCAGCCTCATGATTGATTTGACTGAGCTACACAAAGAGCAGAAGGTTGATGAGGTAACACATCCTCTGATATACAGTTTATCTATACAATAGATATTTTTAAGCCAAAGTTTAATGGTTTAGGAAATGTTTCATGTGATGTGTGTGCAGTGTATTTTCATAGTTGTTAGAGAATTTTTGGTCAAAGGTTATGGATGTTTGTATTACTATGGCTGAGAATCTTAACTCTGCCCATGAATCATATGTTTGGATGAGCAGAGAGAGCTGAATGAGTGAGGCTGCAGCATGCAGCGGTCAGCCAAGGACACCTCCAAGTTCTGTGAATTTGGCTGAACTGATAAGGGTATAAAAGCAAGCTAAGAGGGTGGCTCGGTGCAAATTCTCGTGACTGGTCTTCATGTGTGTACTTTATGTATATTTATGTAACCTGTCCTGAAAATCTGAACTTGGAAGTAAAATGCCAGTTAAAAGTCTTCTCCTGCCACAGAGTGTGGTTCTTTAAGAGTAAGATAAGCAAGAATATTTTTCTCCAACATTTTGGTCCTTCCAATGCCGGCCCCAACATCTGACCTCAGAACACCAGGCTTGGACAGAGGAGGATTGCACTCTTGAACTGAAAGCTCTCCGGCTAAATTACTGATTTGAGGACAGGTCTGCTGGTGGGTTGAGGGAGGTGATGGATGTCTGACTAGAGATGAGCCACGACTTCTGGGTGAGAAGATTGTGTTTTATTATTTTTGGGAGATCTGGGATCTCAGTATTTTTTCTGGGAGATCTGGGACCTCAAAAGAAGAAGTCATGTGGGGACTTACCAATATTGATATTGTGTTAAAAGGAACAGTCTGGGATTGGTAGGAAGTTCGGGGAACTTACAGTGATCCCAGTTCAGCGTCAAGAAATGACCTTGGTTGATGAGATCTGTGAACGTAGCAGGGGCGAATCTAGAATCTGATCTTTAGGGGTGCTTAGCCCCCAGTGCTGACAGTGGCTCTTGGCTTGAACAATGTAGTGGAAGAAGCATTTGTAATGTGTGGGGGAGGGGGCTGCACTGGTCAGGGTGGGGTCTAGGGATCCTCCCCCTGAACATTTTGAATAAAGTAGATGCCATTTCCTGCATTCTGACATATTTTAATGGGTTGTTAAACATCTAGTTTTACCTACATAAGTAAACACTTGATTCAATAACTATTTTAGAGTTATTGATATAACAAGAAGTAGCCTGACCAACAGCTCTCCTTGTGTGACTAGAGCATGCTCGGCTTTTCTCACATATCTTAACATCCCCACAACCATAACCTTAACCCTAACCCCCTAACCAGGGGGGTGGCATCTCCTGCAGGTAAAGGGCATTTCATTTCGGGAAAAATTGAGGTTGCTGATTGGTCAGTTGCTGATGAGCATACTGGATTGATTGACAGGTGGTGTTGAGGATCCGACTCAAGATTTTACTGGCTTGATCAAGTGTCATCATTTATTCAATTTTTATTCCAAATTTATTCAATATTTTCGTGAATCTAAGGTTTGAGAACTGAGTTTCCTTACAAAATCCCAATGATGATTTCTTAATTTTTCAGGGGTACTAAGTTAAAAATTTAGGGGTGTTCGAACACCTCCAAAAAGAGGCTAAAATCGCCACTGGAAAGTAGGACATAGTCTGTGTGAGGAGACTACAGGAATTAATACCTCTGTCTAGATGTTAAATAAGAAAAAATAAGGGGATCCGCAGAGGAGTGAATGTGTTATGTTGTCTGTTTGATATGAGTTTCAGTGGTGTCTTGGTGTGTAACTGACTGTCACTGCTTGGATTTGTTAAAACTTGGAAATTTTGTAAAATACTCGAATTACTGAAAAAACATACAAACAAACAAACGAAAAAGGGACAGGTCAGACAGAATGTATAACAGATGAAACATACAGATTGAGGTGCAAAAGCTTATTTCGTTATGACTTTAAGGAAAAAGATAAAGACCTTTACTCTAAAAAGCTTTAAGTGAACTATTTTTTTTAGCCTTAGTTAAATTAGTTAACAACTTTAATGCTCCCGTTTGAACTTGTTATAGTCTATGTTTAAATATCCTTTATTATAGGGGTTAAAAAATCCGAACTCTACAAATCCTGAACATTTTTTTATACTTAGGGTATATATGTTTACAATACTGACTTTATTTTCTTTACATGAATCTTGAAACAGCAAAGAGACATTTAGAAATAGATGTAATAATCAAGAGGTGATGAAACAACCTGGTCTGGTTGGAAGTAAGTTGTTATGTGAGTCTAAATGGAAGTTAAGAAGCTTCATCAGGGGTAACAGGTGGGAAAACGCCTTCAAAGGTGTTTTTATACTTATCCCACAACACTTCCAAAAAGTTTATTGGCTACATCTGGCTCCTTTCCTTTTAACTTCCACTGACATCAAGTATCCCAGGCTTTAAGCTTCATTCATACAAAGCAAGACATTGAGAACTCTCCAAAAAAGTTAAATCTGGTCCTCTGGGCATCCCAAAAAAAAACAAAACAAAGCAAAAAAATCTAGAAACGTTTCGTCTCTCATCCAAGAGACTTCCTCAGTCTGAGGTGCTGTTTTCAGCTCAGTCTCTTAAATAGCACCTTCTCAGAGTGGATCAACCAGTTTGCTGCTGACAACCAAAACCAGCTGATCACATGCTCAAGAAGGACCATCAGCCTAACAATGGATCATTAGCACACTGATGGCTGTTTACTACTCACAGAGGGCTGAGTGATACTAGCAATCACAGCATTGTAAGAGGGGGACAGTTGAACCCGGAGGCCTCCACCCCTGTTTAATGATGGACGGTTTCTTTTCACAAAGATGGCCTCCTTTACTCCTCTCTCAAACCATCGTTCCTCTCTGTCCAGGATGTGAACATCTTAATCCTTGAAAGAGTGACCGCTGGCCTGGAGATGAGTGCAGACCGCAGAGTCCTGGCCTGATGATGTTGATCTTCTGTGCTGGGCCATCCTTTTGGCCAGTGGCTGTTTTGTTTCCCCGATGTAAGACTGATCACAGCCCTCCTGACACTGAACAGCATACACAACATTACTCTGTTTGTGCCGGGGGACTGGATCTTTGGGATGAACCAGTCTTTGCCGTAATGTATTTTGGGGTTTAAAAGCCACTGGGACGTTATGTTTAGAAAATAAACGTCTCAGTTTCTCTGATACCCTCTCAACATACGGAATGACCACTGGTCTGGGTCTGGGTTCCTCCTTTTCACCTGATGGCTGACTGGAGTCCTGTTTGGGTTTTTTCTCTGCTTTCAGGAAGGCCCAGTTAGGATATCCACATTGCTCTAGAGCCTGTCTTGTGTGGGATTTCTCCTTCTGCCTGGCTCCTGAGCTAGTGGGGACGCTGTCTGCTCTGTGATACAGAGTCCTGATGACTCATAACTTGTGCTCCAAAGGGTGATGGGAGTCAAACTGCAAATACTGGTCTGTGTGGGTGGGTTTGAGGTACACCTCAGTTTGCAAATGTCCTCTATCAGAGACTGAGACCTCACAGTCCAAGAAAGCCAACTTGCCATTTTTTACATCTTCTCGTGTGAACTTGATGTATTTATCCACAGAGGTGATGTGGTCAGTAAAATGTTGGACTTCCTGAGATTTAATTTTAACCCAGGTGTCGTCAACATACCTGAACCAATGACTTGGTGGTGTCCCTGAACAGGACGTCAAGGCTCTCTTTTCCACCTCCTCCATGTACAGGTTGGCAACAATAGGAGAAACTGGAGACCCCATAGCACACCCATGTTTCTGCCTATAATATTGCTCGCCATATGTGAAGTAGGTTGACTGCAGGCACAGTTTCAAGAGTTGACACAGTTGTTCTGTGGAAAGCGTGGTCCTGCTGCTCAGAGTGGTGTCTGATTTTAATTTTAAACTGACAACCTCTACTGCATCATCAACAGGAATGCACGTAAAGAGTGATGTGACATCAAAAGAGACCATTGTTTCATCAGTCTCCATGATGACATCCCTCACCTTATCCACAAAGTCCATGGTGTTCTGTATGTGGTGTTCTGAGCTGCCAACTAAAGGGATGAGTACAGAC